AAAAAAAAAAATACCAAGGGTCTTTTTCTTTAAAAAGGTCTCGTTTCAAATATTTTCCAAAAGAGTTTGGATCAAATTAGATGCAGGTGCTTAAGACCCAAAGCAGAGAAGTTAAGGATTAGCTCCTTTGTGATTCTGTCTGCCAAGTTTGTGGCACAGGTGTTTCCCTTCCCCCTGTGACATCTGAGAGCATCTGAAGAAGTGGGTGGGGAAAGTAAGGGGTGGAGTGGCAAGAAGGGAAAAGAAGAAATGCCCTGGGGGAAAGGGGAGGTGTTTTTTTTTTGCTATGGAGCCTTGATAGGAGGGCAGCTCAGAGGGCAGATGAGCTGGGGCTTGTAGGTTGCATCAGGTCAAGAGGGGAGAGTAGGTGGGTAGGTGGGGAAATGTGCAGAGGCTGCTTAGGCCTAGAAGCTTGATTTCCTTCTGTGCATGCCTGAGACAGCCAGGTTGAAGAGGCCAGTAAGCAGAATAGGCTTTTCCCAGACATTGCTCAGCAGGAGGGAGAGCACATGCTTGATGTCCTGGGCCTTTATCCTGATTCTGAACGTTAACCCCAGCTCGCAGAACGTTTGTTAGTATGGTCCTTGGTTTGCTCTTCACACAGAGGGGTGAAACGTATGGCTCAGGTGTTCTAAAATGCCAGCCCTTGAACTGTCATCAGTGACCAGTGACATAGGAAAAACAAAAGTAAGATAGTTTTCCAGAAGGCAAAAACTATCTACAATAAATTTGTATTCTGAGACTGTTATCTTTCCTCAGGTTTCGGTGTTAAAACGTCCTTTAGAAAATAATGGTGACTGTAGATGGTGGTCATATTGCTTAGGAGGGTTAGGTACATACATAACAGATGAATCCCAGAAGCTCAGTGGTGTAAATACATCTCCCAATTATGAGAATTTCAAAATGAGTGGTACTGATTAGCAGAGGGCACTCTCCACAGGGATGTGAGCTCCTTCTGTCTTGTGGTTCTGCTCTCCTCTGGGACTCCAGGGTCTTGGATGCAGCCTGCAGATAGGCAAGAAAGCAGAGGGCTGTGGGGGTGCTGGGTTAGTGGCACTGACCCCCTTCTCTCACATTCCACTGGCTGGAACTCAGGCTCAGGGCCGCACTCCCCTGCCCGGCAGCCTGGGCAGGAGTCTGCTGTGTTCTCAGGAAACAGAGGAAACAGATTCAGAGAACAGACGAATCAAGCTCTGACACAGTGGCTGTTTTTATTATTGTCCTTACCTGGCAAAGTAGAAGTGGCCAACCAACCTTCTGGTGGCCATCCTAATTTTGTTTTCATTTTACTGGTGTTGACGAAAAACATCCAGCCTAAGAGAAAACGTGTAAGAGTTCATTTGAGCCAAACTGGCGACAGTTGCCGGGAAGCAAAGCCTCAACGGATTGAGAAAATGCTCCGAAGAATGGCAGTTTTACAGCTTATTTTATACATAAAATCAAAGGAGGAAGGTTACATGAAACCCATTGGTGACAGGTTAAGGGGGTGGGAGAGAGCAAAGCAGAAACCTCTGGGATTGCATAAAAGCGAATTGGAGAGACAGGTACTCCCTTTACATAGGTGGGTGCAGGATCGTTAAGAGTTCGCTCTTTACAGCACATAGAGATGGTAATCAGGAGACAAGCATAATAATGAGGAATTTTGCAGTTTCCAGCTCTGGTCTGGAAAAAGGATTAAAGATGTTATCTTAGGTACAGAAAGACAACAGACCCACCAAACAGATTAACTTAACGAGGAAGCTGAAGATGTGACTTCCCACCATGGCCCACTTAGTTAAAAATTTTTTTTGTGTGTGTGTTCACGCCATCTTATTTTCAGTCTCCTAAGCTTGTCAGGTTTAACCTGTGGCCGCTTTTCCGTCCATACTGGTTTACAAAATTCAGAAGCCTGGAAACCACCGCTAGCAATAATCCAAAGGTCATTTCTGTGGAGCCCTGGAAAATATTTCCTTACTTGGGACACTTCAAAACTAAGTAAAAGTGCACCATGATGTTTTTCTCTTGTTCTTTCTTGTTATGAGCTAAGGACGAGCAATGTCACCTGTAGGCCAGAGAAAGCACTAGTTTGAACAGAGGTTTGAAAGTGTGTGGTCTTTGTGGCCTGTGCACTTTTTTGAATGAGGCAGATGTTTCAGTGTTTTGGTTTCAGGCCTCAGGAGTGCATGTCCCTTGTATAGAGTAAGGATGAGAGTAACCAGGGGTTGATTTCACAAAGGACAAAAATAAGCACAGTAATCAGTTATGCCAATAAGAGCCTGAGAAGATTTTTTTTTGCAATCCTGTTATATTTCAAATAGCAGAGGACTAGTGTTTCTTCTTGAGGAAGTTGAGTCTGGTGGAATCTGTATAGGGGGAAAGTAGGCCACCTGGCCCAATGCTCCGGATCTAAGAAGCTTAGTCTTTTCTGAGTGAGAAAGGAGGAGTGAGAGGCTTGCTTGAGAATGTATATGGCCATCACTCCTAATTCCTGGGTTGGTTTTATCTCTTTCAGGTTAGTCTGAATGATTCCCACAACCAGATGGTGGTGCACTGGGCTGGAGAGAAAAGCAACGTGATCGTGGCCTTAGCCCGAGACAGCCTGGCGTTGGCGAGGCCCAAGAGCAGTGATGTAAGTATTGGTGTTTCTCTGGACACTCCTTGATGCTGCCAGTATGCCCTTTGGTGATCTGCCGGGGTTATCATTCCAGAAAAAACAGTAGGTAATTGGACAAAGGATGGGATGAATTATACAACGTAGAAGATAGTCTACAAAATAATGAATATCCCTTGGTTGCTGACCACAGGGTCGTGCAGTCACTGGCAAACAGATCCATGTGATGTGTGGTGACTTTTTTGTGTGAAAGGGTGTGATCCAGACTGTTGCATCTGCTCAGCAAAATGCCAGAAGTGCATTCCCGGACTGAGCTGCGCGTTGGCAGCAGAGCCCGATGGGATCCCATTGGTCTTTTTATGTGCTGATTTCTTCTGACCCTTTAAAGCAGCGGTTCTCAACCTTCCTAATGCCGCGACCCCTTAATACAGTTCCTCATGTTGTGGTGACCCCCAACCATCAAATTATTTTCGTTGCTACTCTATAACTGTAATTTTGCTACTGTTATGAATCGTAATGTAAATATCTTTTTGTGTTCCGTTGGTCTTAGGCGACCCCTGTGAAAGGGCCGTTCGGACCCCCAAAGGGGTCGCGACCCACAGGTTGAGAACCACTGCTTTACAGTGTGGTGGGTTGTTGAATCGGATTCGCTCATGTTCTTTTTTTAATTTTTTTTTTTTTTATATTTTTTTGGGGTACCCAACAAAATATCACAGTTAGACATACACACCTCTCACAAAATGATACCCCCCCCCTCCAATCTTGCTCACATTCTTAATTTCTACAGTTGGCTTATAGGATGTTTAATAGTTGAGGTGTTTTGAAGTCATGAGACCAAGTGTCACAAATTCAAAAGCCTATGAGAGGTCAGGAATGAAATTGTCTCCAAGTTCACAACATTCTTGACCTCCACAAAGAATAATAGTCTCTCCTATTTTTCTTGAAGTATATGGCCCTCGAACAATATGTCATTTTCCGACTTTTGATAGAGATACAGGTTCAAGGAACCTTCACCTGTATCTTAATTTGAATATGCTGATTGATATTGGTCTGAGTGTCTGAGAGACTCTCAGAAGGGACTTTGGTGAGCTAGAGAATCAATACTCCTGAGGGGCCATTGTGACTGGGTCTCAGCTCTGGATGCCGTGCTGGAAGCAGGGCCCAGTGTTGCCAGACCTTCTGATTTTTCGAGAGAAGCTCAGAGATCTGGCTTTTTATGTGAAAACTGCTGAGCCTTACAACTTGGAAGCTAATGTTTACAAACAACGTGTAAGCCGAGTAAAACGTCTATGAGCTCTGGCCCTTGTGTCTCAGGTCTTCGGCCTCTGCTGTTGACTTCCCCTTGCGGGGAAGAGGAACAGCCGCTGCCTTGGGTCAGGTTCCGACATGGTGACAGGGTGAAGCTGTGGACAGAAAAACATGTGTGGAGCTTTGGTGATTTTCTGCTCGGGCCAGAGGAAACCTCTGAATTTGCGATCACTGTTGTTATCAGCCTAAGGACGCAAGTGTAATTCTTAAGTGTAGTTTAATTTCTGTCAGGTCCCTCATTGTATCCACTGAGTTGAATGTGCTCTGGGGTAGGTGACTGGACGGAGCTCCATTCCAGGGCTTGCTTTCTAGTGAGTTGAATTGGGGAATCATAGTAATGATGCACAGCTTTGCCCAGGGTGGGCACTGAGCAGTGGCAAGTGGGAAACCACTGTACCTGACAGCCAGTTTGGGTGTCATGATCTGGAGCAGGGCTAGGCTTGTTTGTGGTGATGACTTTGGCCCATTTCTAAATGTGATGAGGGTTTGCAAGCCCAGACGGCAGTGTTTGGATGCCAGTGTATATTCAGCATAGTCACTGCCCATAGGCAGCCCTTTCGAGCACAGGAGCTGGCTCTGTGCCCTATGGTATTAAGAAAATCCTCCTTAGAGTTTTTATGCATTTTAAAAATTAGTTGTCCAGATAATATTTCTCTTGTGTGGGATTGATAAAGACAGTAACCTTTGTTTCATGGTTTGGCTGGACAAACAGGAGGCTAAAGATATTAAGTGACTTGCATGAGGTCACTCAGCATGTCTGTGGGAGAGCTGAGGCCAATGAGAATTAAGAACCAATCATATACTCGGCATGTGAGACTGTAGGGTTGCTAGGGTGACCAACTCACCTGGGTTTCAGCACTGGAAGTCCCACGTACTGGGACCACACGGAGTTCTGGATGAACCAGGATGGTTGGTCACCTCGGTATTGCCAGTCTACCCAAACCCAATTCTCCCTCTGTCCAAATACTGGGCTGTATCTACTAAGAACCCATTGAACATTTGAAGTGACACACTATTCTGGAATGAAGTATATGATAAGATTAAATGGAAACTTAATGCTTAGAGATAATAAATAAGGATGACAGAGATTTCCCCCATGTGTACAAGTGACATTAAAGAGTTAGATGAAACTGAGATGTTCTGATGTGAAAAATTAATGCAAAAATTATGACTCAGAGGCAGGAGTTGGTGGTGCCAGAGTAGTAACAATCCAATTTTTCTTTAAAGAAGACTGGTTCGTAAGTCTCCATCAGCAGTCCAGAAGGGAAAGAACCTAACCGAATAAGGAACTGTGAGTGACCGGAAATGGCCAAGTGATTGCATATTCAGTTTATATAAAAGGGGTGGGCCTGGAAGCTGGAATCTCAAGTTTGCTATTAAACCAGAAAAAAAAGAATAGCGTCCTGATGAACTTGTAGCCAGCATGGTCCCATGGAGAACAACAGCTCCTGCCATACCCCTCTTTCTCTGTGGTAGGTCTGGTAGATGTAAGGAAACAATATTTATTTATCTTGCCCTTTGCTGCCTCTTTGTTTCTGCCCTCTCCTGTTTTGCAAAGTTCTCCGGTGCAACATAATTGGCCAAAGAGCTCTCCAGAGACAGGGCTCACCTAGGATCAGAGTCAACAAGGGATGTATTGGGACTCGTGGGACTCGCTGCCCTTGTGCCCAGAGTGGCGTGGCATGATGCTTGGTGCCCCTAGGTTTGGCTGGGAAGCAGGGTCCGTACGGTAAGTCCTTACTTAACCTTGCCGATAGGTTCTGTGACTCAGTGAAAGAGGTATGATGAAACCAATTTTAGCACAGGCTGATTGATATAAACAAGAGTGAAGTTCCCAGGGCATCTCATCAACGTTATAATGAAACAATGTTGAAGGAAATGACATTGTTCAAGGACCTGCTCTACTTGGGAACAGTACAGAACTAGGTAGCCCGTGGGACCTGGTGTCTGGCTGAGTCAGGAAGGTTAATGACTCTGAAATCAGAATGCCTGGGTTTGAATCCTGTCTCTGCCAGTCATTAACAGTTTGGCCTTAGGCCAAGGCATTCACCTTCTTTTGGTTTTCTTATCTGTCAATGAGACAGTACTTGTAAAAAACCTTACTTCCTGAGGTATGGCCTGTGGATGAGCAGCTATGGGTATTTTCTGGGAGCTGGTTAGAAATGCTGTCTCGGGTCTCACCCCAGACTTCCTGAATCAGAGTCTGGTTTTGACCAGTGACCTGCTGGGTGAGTTGTAGGCATTTTACAGTTTGAGAAGGCCTGGTGTCAAGTACTTAGAGCAGTGCCAGGTAGGGAATGTTTTCTGTACATTTTAACCCTCTTTTTCTTCCCTCTCCCCTCTCCCCTTTCCCTTCTCTTCTCCCTCCTCCCCTCTCTTCCTCCTTTCCCTCTTCCCCGTCTCCTCCTCCTCATTATATGAAGCACAGGGAAAGACTTTAAAACCATTCACTTCAAAGGACTATCTTTATATGTGAGGCAGTGATCTAACTAGCAAATTTGGGCAGTTTAGAAACTCCTCCCCCTTTTATTCAGTTCTCTCCTGTCCTAGGGAGGTCAGAGAGGACTAAGGAATGCAGAAACCTGTGTCTGGATGAAAAACAAATTGGAAGCACAAGATGATCAAGTACACGGTGCCTGCCCAGACTCACCTGCAGATCTTGGTGGGCAGTGAGTGAGTGAGCAACCTAGTGCTGCCACAAAGACAGGACAGACAAGCCAGGATGTACCAGTGGGGGTGCACCGTGGAGCCCGCGAGGCCGCCAGCCCCCTTGGCATTATCTGAACACTGGCAGAGGCCTTTTCTGGGTTCTTCACTGTGGAGGAAAGTGGATAGCTGTGCCCAGCCCTGAGCTTGGTCTTCACCCTTTGGAGCTCAGGGTCTGCGTTAATCAAATACTGGGTTATCGGAAAAGTCATGACATATTTTTTTCTATGTTTGTCGTTGCGAAAATGCGTCATGGCTTTTGCGACAACCCAATAGAAATAAGAATTATGAAGATAGGATAAAAATATCGTGTTGGAATTGTTCAACCGGGAGAACGGAAGGACGGTTAATGAGCAATTGGAGAGAACCTTTAGCATAGGATGGACCCTTCCATACTTACTCTTCATTTCTATTAGGCATACGACCCAGAGATGGATTTTGTTTATAGGTGAGAATTGAGGAAGAGCTTTTTGGTTGTGATGGTTGTTGGACCTCCAGTTGTGAAATGGCGGGGGAATGGTTGAGAATCTCGGAAAGGCTGTCTGTACGTTCTGCTTGCTGTCCTGCATTCCTTCCACTTGCCTGGCCTGTAGATTTGGTGTATGATCTTCCTCTTTAACAGAGAACCATAAGTATGTGGAAGAGGACATTATCCTAGATGGTTAACTTGCAAGAGTGGAAAGACAACTGGACTTGGAATTGGAGGAAGCAGTCATAGTCATTTTGCCACTTATTAGCAGTAGGACCTTGGGCTAGTCATTACGTTCTCTGAGTCTTAGTTTTTGTTATCCTTTAAATTATTCAATCAGTCACTTATTGAATCATTTGTTTCATTCTCTTTTATTCATTTATGAAACACATTCATTTACTCACTCTGTGGTTTATAGTGATATTTATTGATTCCAGAAATCTTTACTGAGTACTTGCTATGTTCCAGGTACACCGAAGGCAAACGGTAAGAATAGTAATAGAGTTTTTAAAGATGAAGAGGAATAATGTATACAGAACAGTATTGTGTACTGCAAAATGTCGCCCGATGTGAACTTATTATCACATTTGTGCCTCTCAGGAGGTAACTCCTAATGGATTATCAATATACGGGATGCTGGAGCTGGAAGGTCCTGAGTTCCCTTTGTGAGAAGCCATTCGTTTGCTACATGTGACTTCTGACCCTAAGAGGGACCCCTAATGTCCGTTCTTGGCCAGGAGGAGAGTGGAAGTGAGAAAGTACCACTCTGTCTTTTTACCCACTCAGATTATCTGTGCACTCTCAACCTGCTGAGTTTCTGAAGTTGCTCTTGTGGGAGCTCCTTACTGTGTGTTTGGGAGCCGGGAGTACACACTGTGTTTACACCTGTTGTGCTTGTCATAGGGTTTCTTCCACTGTGACTCAGGTATTGGCAGAGGCTCTCTCTGTTCTCTTGTGACCTTGACATCTAATGCATATTAATGACCTGTGTGTGCTCTCAGTTCCCTTAGTACATACCTTGTGCAGTTCATTGTTTACATGGGCATTATTCACAAACATTTGTATGTTTCACTTGTGTCTAAAGGCCACATCGCATATCTGGTGCCCGGCACAACACCTGGCTCATGTAAAACCCTCAAAACATGTTTGCTGTTAAATCAGTGGGCAGTGGAGGCAATACACTTTCTGGAATTAGTCTAGTAGTTCCCATTCTTCTTGGAAATCATCTGTCATTTTTTAATACTTACCCCAATTCTGTTATTCTTGATATTATATTCATCGATCAGGCTTGTTCTTAACCCACTGATTGTATTAATTATATTTCATGTCACACATGAAATAGACTCTAGGTAGTAAACTCTAGGTAGTAAACTCTAGGTACAAAATATCGGACAACTTTCATTCTACTATCCGTCACCTGAGGTGTAATGGCTTTTGGATTTTTGTCTTTGGAGGCAGGCAGCCTGAGTTGCAATCCCAGGCTGCCACTTACTTTCTGTATTACTCTGGCAGGTGACTAATCTCATAAGCCCCTCTTGTCATCTCTGAAAATGATTCTCATAATTGCATTTGCCAGGTAGGGCTGTGGTGAGAGCTACCTGAGCGCATGTATTTGAAGCCATTGGTACAGTACCTGGCACCTAGGAAGCACTCAGTGAATGACAGTCCGTCTGAGGTTTTATTACTGTGGTTACTGGACAGTTGGAAACCCAGAAGCAGGAAGAGGTAAAGACTGTTGGCATGTGCATGGGTCCTGCTGCTGTTCTGCATACTTAGTCTCCCAGAGTACAGAATCCGAAAACAGGAGTGCTGGGGAAGAGGTTTTGGTACCCATGTATTTAACCTCTGTGCTTATTTAATCTCTTAGCATTCTTCCCACCCCCCACCCCGTCTCTTGGGCTACTCTGTGGAGACTCATGAGGATTTTCTTCTTTTATCTTCTGGAATGCTATAGGAATAGAACTTCCCAGCAGAAGGATGGGGAATTAGATTTACTTTTGAGGATGTTTCAACAGATGGCAAAACAAATTCTCAATCCCTTCCCCTCAGACATCAACATTCTCTCTGCCTCTGGATGTAATTTGTTAAACACTTAACCCAGCCATGGGGAGGAGGTTATCGTTGTTTTCATCTGTGTGTCTCCCCCTCCAGGGACTTTTCTTGGCCTCAGAAAAGAGGCCTGCGTATAACAGGCAGCAGTGGCTTCAGAGCTCCCATGCCCCACATGCCTGGGGAAGGACATAGAGGGGCCTTGCTGCTCCTTTGTGGGTTATCTTTTCCTATCCAGGGACTCATTGGGAACCACATTTGAAAGTGAGAGATCCTTCTGCCACATTTCTCACCAACTCTTCTTTTTTTCCCCCTCCTCTATATTCCAGGTGTACGTGTCTTACGACTATGGAAAATCATTCCAGAAGATTTCAGGAAAGTTAAACTTTGGTGTGGGAAATGATAGTGAAGCCGTGATCGCCCAGTTCTACCACAGTCCTGCGGACAACAAGCGTGTAAGGAAGCAGCTGTCCCTCTGTTGTGACGTCATGGGGCTGTATTTTGGGAGGATGGTTGTGCTCAGGGGGGCTGGGAGATGGAGCCCTTGGTCATCTTTGCAGCATGCTTGGCAGCCAGTGACTGTTTTTCTGCTCACCTGGGAGCTTGTGACAGAATACATGGTGGAACTATATAGAATCAAGCATGCCAGGCACTGGCCAGGCAGAATTTGTAGACAAACAATGGCAGGTATAAGCGCAGAAAATCTGCCAACTGATAAATGGCTTGACTCATAGGTGGCAAAAATGTTACCTAGTCCCCTGGTACTTAACCTTACTGTCTAATCCAGGTCTTCCAGAGCGGCTGCTGAGCTCTTGGTTTCATTGCCATCATCAGTGCTTGTGTGTGTGTGTGTGTGTGTGTGTGTGTGTGTGTGTGTGTGTGCGTGTGCATTTGTGCACCACTCTCCCTCCTGCCTATACCGGTAAAGAAAAGGACAACAATGCAGCAAATCTTGCTGTGCCTCCTGATTTATTTTCCCAGGAGGCTTATTTCTGCAGGACAACCCCACAGTTTGATTTGGAGGAAGCATTGACGTGAGGTTGCACTGGGCCCAGGGGGGCAGCGGAAATGGAAGTGGGGGGTGTGATGCAATCATCCCCCTGCAAGGCTTTCCTGCCTGTGAGGGAGCTCTGGCTCTGGTGGGAGAGTTGTATGTGATGGTTTTCTTCCCCAGTCTCCGGACCCCTAGCTTGTTTCCAGGGTGGGATGTCTGCTTCTAAGGATGCTGGAAACTCCTTAGTAGCGAAAGCTTTCTGAGGTAAGGGTAGCTGCTGCCCTTTGCTCATCCAGAAAGGAACAAGAGACTGAGATCCACAGGCTTCTCTAGTTGCCTGTGGTCTGTTCGCAGAGGTTGTATTCAAAATATATAGCCACTGGAATGGCATTGACAAATCAGAACAGACCCTGTCTGGATGCGCTGGGTCCTGAAGGCCGTCCTGCTGGGCTAGGTATTAACCTTTTAGTTGCTGGATTTGGGGGAGGTCCTGGGAAAGGGGCTCAGGCTACTGGGGCTTTCAGGGGGGCCACTCATGGGTTTCAGGGAAGTGGGGTACAGAAGCAATTTAAAAAAATTTTTAATTTTAATTTTAATTTTTTTTAACAACTGGAAGAATCATTCCTGGTACATACTGGTTAAATTCCTGCCTCGTACTCTCATAGTGGAATGGCAGTTAGGAACAAACTCCCCTCTTACCTAACTCCAGGTAACAGAACATTTTTCCCCCTATGATGAAAATCAAAGAAAAGGTGTTGAGGGCAACTGGTTCTGTAAACAAGACTGCTGGCCCTCTGTTCCCTGCTTTCTCCCCATTGTGGCCAGGCAGGCCTGGCACGTGGGACTCACAAGTACCTCGTGTGAGGTGAGGAGCCCTGCCCCAGGGTCCAGCTGGCCGGCTGTGCCTCCTTGCCCAGTGGATGGATCAGGAGTCATATAACACTTCGATGACTCACTTCGTCCACTTGTACCTATCTATTACTATTATCATTATTTTTAAACATTGTCCTAGAGCTAACACTTGCTTAAGTGGTGGCCTTGAAACCACCCTGTTGTCTCTCTGGAATCTTCATTTTCAGTTCCACCTGTCCCTCCTGAACCTCCAACCAGAGGGCACAGACGTCTGTAAGTGGTGTTCATCTTCCTTCCTGCTTGACATAGGTTATGGTGAAGAGCTGCTAAGCCTGCATGTCTGAACGGTCAGAAGACAGGAGATACGGTGTTATGGGATTTTAGGGGGAGGTTTCGTGCAGGGAGAGGGTAAGGGGCGTTTTGAGCATTAGGTCTGGAGAAGGAGCAGGGCACCAGGCATGATGTTGGGGCAGGAAATAAGGAGAAACCGGGGACGATTGCAATGAAGGGGCCTTAAGATTCTGCGAGGTGAGATGCCTGCAGCCCAAGTCTACTAGTCTACCTTCCTGTCTGCCTTGAAGAGCGGCGCATCTCAGATTTCTCACGGCTGAGTTGGATATGCTTTGGAGTCGGTGGAGAGAGTAAAGAGGGGTTGCCTTCTTGGAGAACTTAGTGACAGTAGGACCTCGGCCTGGCGCAAGCTGAGTGAGCTTAGGAATGGCGCTTTCTCTGCTGAGTTTCTAATTCCCCAGAGAAGGCTGTTACCCTCCGCCCCCAGACTTCTGTGGAAGGAAGTGATGACTCTTATTGTGCCGATTACTTTTGTTACATTTGCTTTTGTTCCTTGGAAGGTAGTTTGCTCCAGCAGACCTGCCACTTTGTGAGAAAAGTCACACAAGGCTGGGTGCCTTGCTGCCAGCACCAAGGTACTGGGCCTGGGTAGATCAGGTGTATAAAATGTTAGGTGGGCTGTCAACGAGCATGATTTGAAATGGTTGACATGACTGCTAGCATCTGCTTTAAAAAGTTATGATGTCACGGACGGGCCATGTGGAAGTCTGAGGGGTGTGAGCCTGTGAAAGGGAAAGAAGGTGTTGGGTTGGCAGCTTGCTCTGGTCTGGTGGCTTTGCCTCATGATGGTGATGGAACGGTTGCAGGTCATATGAGTATGGGGCGGGGGGGGGGTGTCTATTTTTGCATTAGCCTGCAGTCCCACTTCCTTTTTATCCGTCCCATGTGCTGCCTGCTGAACCAGTCAGTGTGCAGCTCTAACCACCTGGCAGGTCCACTAGCCTCACAGCACACCCAAGATCAGTCAACGTGTCTAAATATGTCTGAGCTTGTTTAAAAGGTCACTGAATGTGCAGTTAGGCTTCATGACCTCAGCAGAAGTGAGAGCTGGTCCTGCCTTTTTCCAGGCAGAGGTTGATCCTATGTAAAATGGTGAAACAGCTGTCTCTCTTTCCCTTGGTTCCCACCTCCTAGAGATAGGTTCCTTCATCGTTTCTCTGCTCTTCCTCCTTGCCTTGTGCTTGTGGTTTCTGCACTCAAAACTGGAGAGCGTCTCTTACACTCACACGGGGAGAAATTCTGTTGCTTCTTTTGTTTTCTTTCCAGAGGTATTTGTATTTTAAGAGAAACATAGCTTTAAGCTAATGGATGAAGTTCGTTGGAATGTTATGTGTTTGCAAACGGGGTTGGGGAGCTGGGTTATGTGAGGACACTCCTGAAATTGCACAGTTTACAAAACATCTAATATGTCAGCTCTGCCGGCAGATCTATGGGGTTGGCCTTGAGTAGACCTAATAGCCAGGCAAGTATAGGGACTTAAAAGCAGAGTAGGATGTTCTGTGCCTTTCTATTATAATATGGCCTATGTGACATGGTTACATAACAGCATGAAGCAGCACATGCCTGAGTGATGAATGGAACCTGCAGGTCATTAGAGCTGGGGGAATTGAATGAGAAGGAAAGGCTCCATGAAGTACTCAGGATTAGAAATAGAGCTTCAAGCATGGGCATGATTTCAGCGGCTGGAGCAGCGTTGGTGGGGGCCCTCGAGGAGGAGAGATGCGTGGGCAGAGACTTCAAGGTGCCAGCCGATATGTAGTTTCTGTGCAGACAGTGAGGAGATTCGCTTCTCAGGGGTGGAGGGTTTGCACTGAGGTGCTTCCTGATAGCAGTCAGTACCCTGTCTGAAGATGGAGGACTTTGCTTTTTGCCTTGAAGACAGTAGGGAGCCAGGAGAATCTTTGAGTAGGGGAGTTACTGTGAATAATGTCTCTTAGGGAAACGTGTCTCCTGGAAATACGCAGGATGGACTGAAGGGAAAGATTAGAGAAGAGTCAGAAAGGGAACCACTGTGGTATTATAGGCACGGAGTTGCCTAGTCACTCAGCCAAATCTAATATCACCCTTTTAAGTATTTCACATCCTGCTGGGCCCTAGAAGACACAAGGATGAATAAAACCCAGTGCCTAGTCCCAGTTTTGCTTATAGTCTCTAGTAGGGACATGGGCCACGCTATAGTAGCCCTAGGAATAAAAAGGAAGGCACAGATTATGAAAAATGTTTTAAAGGAAAACGTAACAGGGTAGATGGCTGGTGGAAGTGAGGACCAAAGGAAAGCAGTGGAGTGAAAACCCAACCCTATTGTGAGTAGCGGGGCTGGGAGTAGCATGGAGAGAACTTGGGACATGGGGAGGGACAGTTGGGTTTTGGTGGGGAGTTGTCGAATAATTCAGTTTTGGATAGAAGGAAATATCTTGGCACATCAGAGTGGAGATGCTGAGAAGATAAAGAAGGTAATCACACGAGCATCTCAGTGAGAAGTCAGGATTAGACCGTAGATTTGAAAGTCAGGGAACGCTTGTTCTGGGAAGCAGTAGTTGAAGCTGTGTGGAAGGATAAACCAAGTTAGTCGCCAAGGATGAAAGAGGGATGAGGCTGTGTGAGGGTGGGGAGTGGACCAAGGCGAAGGAGCCAGCAAGAGAGTCAAGGACAGATGGTCAGGGTTGGGCGATGGAGGGTGGAGATGAGACAGTGCTGAAGAAGGCAGGGAAGAGAGAGTTTCCAGTAAAAGCTTAAGGAGTCAATTAAGAGCAGAGGCATATAAATGAGTCCAATAATACAATGTAAGACCTATGAATTAAATTCAGGAAATGTTGCCTTTTTGTTGGAAGAAAAGATGTAAGGATTGATGACCTGTAAAGAGATGGGCTCTGAACCAGCCGTACACTGATGCAAATGCTGCCTCCTTCTGGGTCACCTTGGGCAGTTAACCTTGCCAAGCTTCAGTGTATTCATTAGTAAAAGCGATAATAATATTTAAAGCATTGAACTGCTGTGAGTGCTAAATGGACTACATGAGATAAGGCATTGAAAAATTTTCGCTCAGTGCCTGGCACATAGTAACTAACAGCTCTTGAAAAATGTTAGCTGTTATGAACAATAATACTTTCTGTGATTGGGCACATGAGTTTTAGATTCTAAAATGTGAAACTGCAGGAAGCCATGGAATAGATTTCTTTTCAAACTTAGAACCTTCCCTTCCCCCAATAACCATGGTGGTTTCAGAGCAGGAGGATGGGCTAAATTACTGGAATACTTTTAGGCCCAAAATTATGATTGTACCCTTAGGATCATACATAATTGTTTTTATGTTTATTTATTTATTTTAATTAATTAATTTTTTTTATTGTGGGAATTGGGGAGGGGGACAGCGTTGGGGAATCAGGGAAAGGGAACAGACAAGTTGCTGTCCTTTTGTTCTTGAGTCTAGTTGTGGAGGACACCGCTTCACTGGCCCATGTTGGTATTATCATTGCACTCTTCCCAGGTGAGGCAGACTGGTCGCTGGCCACTGGACCGCCGCTCATGGCGGCTCTTGGCAGCTCACAGCGGCTCTTGGCAGCTCACGCCAGCTGCCGGCCGCTCATGGTAGCTTACGGCAGCCCACTGCAGCTCCACTGCTGCCTACATGGTCACCGGCGACTCACAGCAGCCCAGCTCCGGGTCGAGCTGTTGTTCACCATCTTAGCTGTAGAGGGCGCAGCATCACTGGCATTAATGTGGGATCTGAACTGGAGCCCTGCTGCTCAGAGCTGGCATCCCAAGCCAACTCTTAACCAACGCACTACTCAGCAAGCCCCATAATTGTTTTTATAGCATTGTATTTTCTTAGAGTAGTTTTTGCTTTCAAAACATTTACTAGCCTTTAGAGTTAGTTTTTAATTAGGCTTCTACAGAGATTGGAGTTTTATTGAATATATTAGCGGTTGTGGAGGAAACACGAGTGAAAGAACACATCAAAAAACATCTTCCTGGGAAGTTTACAGTCTAGATTTGGGGAGAGAGCGTGCAAAGGAAAAGGAGCAAGAACATACATGAAAGCAACATGTGAACAAGTGCAAAGAGTTAGTGTATACTGAAGCTGTTCGTGCTGAGGACCAGAGCTGAAGATTGATCTGGATCAGGTGAAATCAATTAGGGAAAGTGTTTTTTTGTTTTGTTTTGTTTTTGTTTTTTTAAGATTTTATTGGGGAATTGGGAGAGGGGAACAGTGTTGGGGAATTGGGGGAGGGGAACAGTGCTGGGGAATCGGGGGAGTGGGAGCAGACAAGTTGCTGTTCTTTTGTTCTTCAGTCTACTTGTGGAGGACGTTGTAGGGAAAGTGTTTTGGATTGATCCCTTTGGATTGTTGATTTCCAGGATTTCCGTGACTGGAGCAGGTTCCTCCTTGCTCTAGTTCCTGGTTCACATAGTCCACTGAGTCACTCTCGTTCTTCTGGGAGCAGGAGCTGTCATCCTTGTGTGAATTCAAGTCCCGCCATCATTTGTGCTTTCCAGCCTTATTTTCTAATTGTTTCCCTCAGGCCCTCAAGAGCTGTCATCAAACCCATGCAGTATTTTTTTTTTTTCTTCCTTTATTCCCACTCAAATTGCCCAAGACTTGGAATGTTCTTTCCCTGTGGAAGCCTTGCCTGCCCTTCAAGGCCTAAATCTGACGCGGAGTCATTTCTGATTGAAAAAAACAGTCTGTGCTTTCATAGGACCGTCCATGGTTTCTCATTTGATCTCATTTTCCCTTGAATTATAGTTAGCTGTGGACTTTGTCTTTCTCCCACATTATACTGCAAGCTACTTAAGAGGAAGGATCCCATGTTTTCACTTTGGCACCCTCAGTGTCTGGTCCATGGTGAATATTCACATATACATTTGTTGAATTGCCTCAATCCTTTCCCCTCGGAGATTCTTAAGGCTGGCAGTCAGTCTCCAGGCAAACTTGTTCAAAGTCACTCAACCGTGTGGAAGCAAAATAAGGTGAGGCCCCTGCTCCCCAGATCTACTTCCTGCTGTGCCCCAGAGTGAGTCTGCCAGCCCTGATGGCAGCTTGGTTCTCAGTGCTTCCCTATCACCTGGCATAGTGGCAAGAAGGTGAAGCGAATCTTCCTAAATGGATGCGATCTTAGGGATTTTCCTGGAAGGGCATATCAGAATAGACAGTAGTCCTGTGTGTGTGCAGCTGGCCTGAAGAGAAGGACTTCTCTTCCCCCGCTTCCAACAAGCACCCTCTGATTGTGACCAAGTGATTCACCAGGGCGTGAGAATAGTTAAGTCACTTGAAAGAAAAGCTAGAAAGGCTTGACTAGCTTCATTACCTGGTGAAGTGAGAGCACTGTCTGAGTCCCCCTGCCAGCCCATTCCACACCCCTTCCTTCACTGAGCCTTGTTTGGTGTGCACCAGCATCTCTTCATTGCCAGCAGATAGCCATGTGGAAGCCCTGAAAGCCCTTGGTCCTGCGTTGGTGTTGGTTGGTTGGCCCTCTACATGTGCATGTGTTCAGACACTGTCTGGGGAGTGTTGGGCGGCCTTGGCTTGGTTCTGCTCTGAGCTGTGATCTCTTTTCTCTTGCAGTACATCTTTGCAGATGCTTACGCCCAGTACCTCTGGATCACGTTTGACTTTTGTAATACTATCCAAGGTTTTTCCATCCCATTCCGGGCAGCTGATCTCCTTCTGCACAGTAAGGCCTCCAACCTTCTCCTGGGCTTTGACCGGTCTCACCCCAACAAGCAGGTAAGAGCTTCTCGAACAGTCAGGCGGGGCTCCTGGAGTTTGTTTTCTGTTCTGCCCTCTGCCTATGTGGACTTCTTGTCCTTTGAGTGACCTCCCCCTGTTCCCTCCCTCCTCCTCTCTCAGGCTTAGCCTTTGTAGCTACGATTTAACTTCCTCCTGGTACTCAGTCTGCATCCCAGCTAGGGAGCAACATGTAGTGCTTGGCAGGCGCTATTAGTCAAATATCTTGCCCCTCTCAGTGCAGATGCACCTTTGTTAGTCCTGGGGGTAAATTGAGGCTCTGGAAATTAATCAGAGAGAGCCAGGTAGAGAAGTCTGGAGTCTGAGCTCTGCTGGGACCTCTGGTTGAATCTCTGTTGCACCTTTCCCATCCTTCACTTTAAACATACTGCTTTTGCCCACCATTTATTTGAATTTACTATTAACTTTAATATTCTGTGTGTGACTATGTATGTGTGTGTGTGTGTGTGTGTGTGTGTGTGTGTGTGTACACATGTAATATGAATGTGTGTATTTTCTTCCTTTAAGCCGAATTTGAAGGAAAGGTGAGCGATGAGGAGAGAGCCTGATTATGATTTATGTTTCAAGGTTCAAACTTTCCAAGTCAAGAATATTGGTCTGGTATAATCCTCTGAAATCTGTGGATCCTATAGGTTGGATTTATAATGAGTTTTGAATGGCTTTGCTCAGAGGAACCTTGGAATACATATATATATATATATATATATATATATATATATATATATATATATTTTTTTTTTTTTGCAGGTCCTTTAGCTAAAACGTTATCTGTTTCCCTTCATGTGCCTTAGGGAGTAACCTAATTGTATGTGGGGTCAGTTTACCAGTGTAGGTAGATTATTGGTATTTTTGGCCTCTTGCTTCTTAATACATGGTTGCTAGGGCCAGAGGAACCGTTAGGTTATGTCTTTGGAAGTTGAGGGGTTTGGGCAAAGATCAGGAAGTTCATTATTCATGGCTGTACCATGTGTATTCAGTTGATTGGCTTTGATACTTTTTGACTCTGTACTTAGCCAGTGTCTTCTCCATTCAATTTTAATTACTGTGGCCCATGATGGGTTTTTAAGGACACTATTTTCCAGGCAAGAAGTACCAAGTATAATCCTTTTGTTTTTACCATCACCTGAGGGCTAATCTTGAGTAAAATATACCATATTTTTCCGAGTATAATGTGCACCCACAGTTTTGGCTCAAACTTTCAGGGAAAAAAATCTTTTGTTTTAATTTTTAAATTTAATATTTGTGTAATTTAGGTACTTATTTATTGTATAATAAAGGAAGTTTAGCATTTAATTTTTAACATATTATGGTACAAGAAATTTTATGTGACAAATAATTACAAAACACAAGAACAGATACAAGGAACAAGAAATTTTATGTACCAGTAACAAACTTATGATATTTACACATCATAGAAGGCCAAGAACTCTTCGCCATTGCAAGTTCATTGTAAGTTCAACAAAACCGATTGTCATATTCCAGGGTGTTATTTTGCATATGGATATCATTACGGATTTCTAAAGTTACACTTTTAACTCATAAGCATAAACATTTAAAAACTTGAAAACATTTATATAGATGCGGAATTAGTACTGCCCATGTATAATGCACATCCTTCTTTTTTTCCCTCACAAATTGGGGCAAAACAGTTTGCCTGATACACGGCAAAATACAGTAGTTTCTGATAACCTATCATGGGAAGACAAATCACAGTCACCTTTCCTTCTAGTTTCTGTTGAGACCTTAGTAACTATGGAGAAGACTGCAAAGGTGCAGACCTGTCCTTTCCTTCCCGCCCTGTTTGCACTTGGAGTCACGGAGCTGGCTTTGGCGACCTTCCATGCCTGCCTTCATGGGCAGCATATTATTTACGGTGGGGACAGGGGTGATTGGTGAGGCCATTCAGGTTGTGCATACCTGTTGTGTCATGACCGCTTCTTGTCGCTTTGGTCTTCTCAGCTCTGGAAGTCAGATGATTTCGGACAGACTTGGATCATGATTCAGGAGCATGTGAAGTCCTTTTCTTGGTAAGTCCTGCCACCTAAGAAATTTGAGTTACATAATCTCCTTTCTTCAGTTCTGGCTCTTTCATGGAGGGCGGACCTGACCTCACTTGAAATGTAAAGAATTTGATTCAGGGAATGCAGTAATTCCCTGATTTACGAACGAGTCGCGTTCTGGGAGAATGTTTGTAAGTCGGATTCGTTCGTAAGTCTGACAAAGTGAGTTCTATCCACCTCTGACACAAATACAGTATACACTGTAAAGCCAACGGTTGAACAATTCATGTTATAAGAACGAATGACGTCTACCATCTTTTCGCCTCCGTCCAATCTCTCAATTATTTTCACTTTCGTTTCCATGGTTATATTGCTTTGCGCTTCCTAGCAGTCCCCTCCACATCACCACTGCTTTCCCTCTTGCTTCCGGACATCCTGGGCTCTGACTGAGCACTGTACTACTGTACACTATCGCACTGTACAGGAAGCACACAGCAGCACAGCTGTGACAATGTCCGGCAAACACGTGAGCTACTTCCGTGATTTGTTCGCATCTACAAATGTTCGTAATGCGAGGTCCGTTCATATCTGTGAAAGTTCGCAACTTGAATGTTTGCAAGTCGGGGACTTATTGTACATTTTCCACACCTGGGAATTAGAAATGCAAGTGTAACAGACTCACTGGGGAAGGGCTGGGATGAGAAAGGAAGGTTCTTTGTGAGAGGAGGGCAGAGCTTTTACATTTTTCAATCCACCAGGGAACCCAGGGGAATCTTGAAGCTCTTGTGTTTATAAGAGTTCTTAAAGACCTTCATTTTTTTTAGAGCATCCTATCAGAAGTTGGGATTTTTCTCTCTATGAAATCAATTCATTGGTTCATTCATAACATTTTGTTTGAATGTCTGCTGAATATAAAACATGCTAAATGCTTTAGGGTATAAGAAGTTGACTAATTTATGGATATAGTTCTTAAGGCGATTGCAGGTTAGGAGGTAAGGAAATACATTTTGTGCACATAACACACGTTATGGAAGAAGCTCAGAAGTCATGGACGTAGCATGAGAAGGCTTTCCAGATGGGAGCATCACCGATAGCCCCAGGACATGCTCAAGAGGTAGGGTGCAGCTGTGGAGGTGTGCAGACTGGGCACTCTAAACAGGAATGAATGGCCAAACCTAGACATGACACAGTGTGGTGCTTGGGTGCAGAATGCTAAGTCTTATTTTGGGGCAGTGTGTTGGGTAAAGTTTGTAAAGGGATGTTTGTATCGGAATCTGTAGCGCCTGATAAAGGAATTTGGACTGAATTCTGAAAGCGATGGGAAGCCATTATAGGTTTTGGAGAAGGATAGTGAAATCAGCAAGGCTGTACTTTAAGAAGTGCATTTGTTGGCCGGCCGAGTGGCGCGTTGGTTGAGAGCTGGCTTGGGATGCCAGAGGGCCCTGGTTCAGATCCCACATATGAGGGCCAGTGACACTGCCCTCTACAGCTAAGATGCTGAACAACAGCTCAACCTGGAGCTGGGCTGCCGTGAGTCGCCGGCGATGGCAGGTGGGTTGCCATGGGCTACCGTGTGTAGCTCAGCAGCCAGCATGAGCGGCCAGCGGCCGTCCAGAAGCCGGCGACTGATCTGCCTCGCCTGGGAAGAGCGCAATGATGGTGCCAACTTGGGCGAGAGAAGCAACTTCCTCCACAACTAGGAAGAGCGCAATGATGGTGCCAACTTGGGCGAGAGAAGCAACTTCCTCCACAACTAGACTGAAGAACAAAAGGATAGCAACTTGTCTGTTCCCCTTCCCCCAATTCCCCAATAAAAATCTTAAAAAAAAAAAAAAAAAGAAGTACAGTTGTTTTTTAATCCTAGTTGTTTCTGATCTTTCACTGTTGCGTGGACGTAATGTGTAATCTTGAAGACATGAATTTGTGCACATGCAGGTGAGTGTGGAGAACAGATTCCCAGGAGCAAACTTGCAGGGTCAGTGGGTCACTCAGCCTATTCACACATGGCAAACTTGTTACCTCTCAAATTCACTCTTGATCTTCACTACCCCAAATCAGATACAAACATGATCTTCCCATTTCAGTTTCTGGTTGCTCAGTCCAAGAACTTTTGAGTCATCATTGATTCCATGTTTGTTTCATCCTTCACATTCATTCTATAAGGAAATCTTGTTGGCTCCGCCTTCAATATAGATCCAGGATTGACTACTCCGCTACTATTTTACTTCAAGCCACCATTGTTGCTCATCAGTTCTCCAAATGGTCTTTCTGCTTCCATTTTGTCCTTCTGCAAGGAATTCTTAGCACACGACCAGATTGATCCTCTTAAAAACAGATCAGATTGTGTTGTTCCTCTGCTTTGAACCCTTTAATATACAGCATCATTTCTCTTAGATTAAATGCCAGAGTACATTCCTACCACTGGGACTTTGCACTTGCTGTTTTTCTTTGCCTAGAATGCTCTTACTAAAGATATATTTACTGCTTTCTCTCTTATCTCATTCAAGGCTGCTCAAATAACACCTCCTAAAAGAAGCCTATCCTAAGGATCCAATTAAAATTTCAACTACGGTCCTGTCATTCCCAAACTGCTGCAGCCTGATCTAGTTTATTTTTGCATAGCACGTATCACATTCTAATATACTATTATTATGCTTATTATTTGCCTTTTTCTCGTCAAAATAATAAAAGCCCCGCAAGGGCAGGGACTTTCGTCAGTTTTGTGCACTGATATATCCCCAGTGAAGGAAGCATTGAATTTGTAACTTTGGTAGCGATTGCCAAATTTTCTATAGAAAGTGTCAAATTTTGCACTCATCTCAACAACATAGAATTGTGCCTCTCTCCATGGCCAATGTGTTAGGAAAGACATAGTATCTCAGCAGAGCTTTAATTTGCATTTTTCTTATTATGAAGGATTTTAATCATCTTTTAACCCACTTAAGGGTCATTTTTATTTCTTTTTTTGGTGACATGTCTGTTCATGCCCTTTGCCCGTTTTCTTTTGTGGGTTGTTAGTCTTTTTGTTACTGATTTCCAGTTCTTTATATGAGGTCAGTCTTATGTGATATGAGATAGATTGTGTGTTTATTTATATTTGGAGTTTGTCATTTGTGTTTTGCCTTTTACATGTAGTTTTAGTCTTCATTAAATGTAATGGTCCAACAAAATGGTAGCTGTCGTCTCCACTTCTTTTAGCCCACTGTTTGTAGAGGAGTGTTTTAGAGTTCATATTGCTTCCTTAGTAATTGTGGTTGGTACAGATGGAGGGAGCACAAGGGGGAACCTTGCAGCTAAGTACCTTTAGGCTCCAGTGGACTTCCTGTTCATAGAGAGCAGCTGTTTCTGACCCTTCTGTTATTTTCCTTGGGCAGAGGTGGTAGAGTTTTAGTGAAATTGTAACTGTAATCTCATCTAAGGAATATACCCTTAGAACTTTCTTTTTCTTTATTTGAATTTTAAAGGGACAAGTTGCTCTTTTATCTGTTTATGGAACCATATATTAAGAGGGCAAACCAGCTGGATTTCTAAAAAAAGGCACTTCCTGTTTGGTAATTGGTATGTTGTGCCTTCTGCCTCCGTGCAGACATGCGGATATCTTAGGGGAAAGGACTGGCTTACCTTATTTTAGATAACTATATGTCTGGTGTCAGGGAATTTCAGGCTATTTGGGGGATTTCCCCCTAGGATTCTCCATAATAAGCGAGAGTGTAACGTAACTCCTCAAAGAGTAGTGGCATACGTTTGTTCAACAGTGCTTGGCAGGCAGCCTTGGAACAGCGGAAGTGAGGAAAACCAATGATTTATGTTATCCAGAGCTGGAGATTGGCAAGACAGGACAGCGGAAATGCTGTGGGGAGGGGCTCCAGGATGCCATGTGAAGCATCACTGAAGGGTTATAAGTGAGGCAGGAGAGGGCAGATGAGGCCAGGTGAGGATTGATGACTGTGCTCAGATATAAAGCAAGGTTTGGAATTTCCAAATGAGGGCAAAGTGTACAGGAGGTAGGTGTGAGTGAGAATAAGAAGTGGAAGGCTAGTGACTGCAAAGTTCAGGAACTGGTAGGGGGACCAGCTGTCAGAAATGGGAGGTCCACATGGGTTACGGAAAGAGAATTGGGATACGAGCCACAGCTCTGTCTCTAGATGTTGGTTGCTGCTTTTGGCTAGGAAGGAATAATAGAAGTTGAGCTGTTCTCAAAATACAGTAAAAACTTGGATTGCAAGTAACGTGGTTTTGCGAGAATTTCGCAAGACGAGCAAACATTTCTAATGAATTTTAACGTGGTAAATGAGCGATGTCTTGCAATATGAGTAGTTTGTTTCCGGAATGAATTATGCTTGCAAATCAAGGTATTACTGTATCTGAATAAAAGTCCCTTCCTCTCTGCCTTTTTAAAAATAACCAGCAGCCTCATTTTAATTTGCATATCCTCTAGGGTAGAGGAAGTACATTAATCTGTAGTTCTAATTGTGGAAAAGAAGAGAACATGCCCCCTCCCCCTCGTCCCCCACAGCATCTGATGATGACAGTTGTCTCCCACATAAGGACTAGGGCTGTTGGTTTCCCCAGTGCCTTAGTAAGACTCCATATCATAGGGCCAAAGTCCAGGCTTTCCCGTTGTAAAAAAGATGCTCTTTTATTTTCCTATTCTTATCTCCTTTCCTCTTTCTCCCTCCTTTGTTTGCTTTCCTTTCTTTGCCTTGCCTTGCCTTGCCTTCCTTCCTTCCTCCCTTCCTTTCTTCCTTCCTTCCTTCCTTCCTTCCTTCCTTCCTTCCTTCCTTCCTTCCTTCCTTCCTTTTTTAGAACATGCTCTTGACAGTACATCTTTGAAGGAATTTTATGTCATAACCTTCATTATCCTGAAAACTATTGTGCATATAATGGAACTGTACAAAAACAGTTACATAAGTGAGCCCTTCTGCCTTTTCTTGGGTCATAACTGCATCTTCACTCTGAAGCTATCTTCCTGATATTTCCAGTTATTTTTCCTGCTTGGTGAATAGTCTGCTTGGTGTTCTTGTGAGTGTTAGGAACCTGGGGCAGATTAGTCATCCTCCCAGCTGCTGTTTGGAGCCATATTTGTGGGAGACAGTAGTTCAAAGATTCTTCTCCAAGGTAGTTTGATCTCATCACTCTGCAGTTTTCAGATTGGAATGGTCTCTGTAATTATGGTCCATGGATCCAATGCAGCAAGGATCAATTCAGCTAGGAACCCTGCAGGATAAAAAGAAATAGGAGACATGGACTTTAAAGGCATCTGTACTCGTGGAAGCACAGACAAACACACTATGGTGAATAAATATAATACAGTGTAATATATATTACAGTGTAGAACAATATAATAAGAAGCACCACAGTATAAAGTATAGAGCCTGATTCAAAATTCACCCAACCAAAGCAGTTTTCTACCTCTGTTTGAAACTCAAATAGAATTCATAAAAAAGGCTTGAAATTGAGTGCTCTAGAGATACATTGCCAGTGTTGGGAGAAGGGAACAGAGCATTAGGGGAAGGCTTTCTGAAAGAGGGGAGCTTGAACTGGGTCTCAGACAATGCGTAGGATTTAGAGGTGCAAATCAAAATGTACGTGAGGGCATCCCTGCAGAGGGGTGTGGTGTTGACAGAAGCACGGGGAAGAAGCAAGCCCTGTGTGTCTGAAGGAGATCAGTATGTGCAAGAGAGAGTTTGTGAAGGAGCCTCGCGGGACATATATTTGCACTGAATGAATCCTGGTTGCACAGATAGGTGACAACAGCAACAGCACAGAGCAGACAGAAGAGAAAGGGCAAACGATCAGGCTCACTGGTTTCTCATGTGGTTTCCTCTTGAGCTATTCTTCTGAGAACACAGCATCCTGGGGAAGCACTCTCCTTCATTCTTCTGAGGTTCATAATGAGGCCAGAAACTTGCTGACAGTCTAAAGTGGTCCATTGCTTACTGATTCCAAAACACTCTGCCTTTTACTTTTTCTTCTTTCCACTCGTCTTGAGCCTGGTCAGAGCTTGCCTTGAGTGGAAACCCAGCATGCTTTGAAAACAACAGCAACAACACAAAACACATTACAGATGGCAGTTTTTCTCCCTTGGTGCTGAGCCGAGGAGCAAGCAAAGGAATATGTTTGCAGCACAGAGAAAATCATTTCTAGATCCCAGTATGGCGGCCCTAAGTTCTAGTTGATTGTATGCATGGAGAACCTCCATGCCTCCAATGATTAAACATGGAAATGATGATAATAATCGTTTTTCGTTGTTTTTTTTTTCCTTCCCTTCTAGGGGAATTGATCCCTACGACAAGCCAAACACCATCTACATTGAACGGCATGAACCCTCTGGTTACTCCACAGTTTTCCGAAGTACAGACTTCTTTCAGTCCCGGGAAAACCAGGAGGTGATCCTCGAGGAAGTGAGAGACTTTCAGCTTCGAGACAAGTACATGTTTGCTACAAAGGTGGTGGTAAGTTCAAGGCACTGAGGAATAACCTTTCTGAGGTTTGGCATTCTGTGATCGTGCAGGTGAGCTCCTACAAGCAGGGCCTAGGTCGCTGTGCCTGGGAGAGCTCAACTGAAGCGTGCTGGACATATATGAACATTCCCAAAGGGCTTGGAAAGTCCCCGGAGGTTGAGGACTGGAGAAGCTTAGACACGCGCTCAGAGGGTCTCTAGGCTCTAGGAGTTTGGTCATTTCCCAGTAGCCAAGCACCCTTGACAAACACATATTTCTTTGAAATCCCAGTGAACTCAGAAAGGAGGGGTGGGGCTCAGTGGCATTTTTCTTCAATCTCACTGATTGATTTCCTTTTATTTAGGCTGATTTCTTTGCGAATTTTGGACCCATGTTAATTTACATGGCTAATAGAATGTGTAGTCATTGGCTAGTGGGAGTTAATGCTCTAAGAAAAGCAGTAATTAAGCTCCCAGCTGTCAGTAAATAGCTTAACTCTCAGCCGTTGGGAAAAATCTTTCCCTTGATTTGATGCATTGGAGCCAGATGCTGAAATAAAGAGCTTGCTCATTTAAAACCACAGTTGACTATTTAATAAGATTTGCCTTGCAACTGTATCAAGTTATAAGTTGCAACTATTCTGTACAGTTAAAGGGAAAAAACCAGGCCTGGCCAAGAGCAGGCTGGGCTACTATCCTGGGGGACTGTAAGCTTGCTTTCTTAATGGAGGCCATTCGCTTGTTGACCTCGGGCTCTGTTGGAGGCCTCTGGTTACTGAGAGGTTGCTCTGCTTTCTATCACTGTTAAACTTGTGGACAAAAATCAGATGTAATGTTTTCCTCCAGGTTCTCACTTATTTATATGATTGGCAGCTGGCCAGGCAGAAGTAGGTCAAGTCCCTTTGGGATTTGGGGTGGGGGGAGGCGAGAGAGAAAAGAATCTCCTCAACAGGGAAAAAAAAGGGGTTCCCCATTACATACCTTATGAAATGTTTTTTTTTTAAACCACCAAACTATGTCAGTTTTTCTTCTGTCAGGATATTTCCCTTGAGTCACACTCCCTAGATCATTCCCTTCCTGCCTTGCCTGTTTGTTTTTGTCTTTGTCTTACACACACACACACACACACACACACACACACACACACACACACTCACACACTCTGCAATAGCAACCTAAAGAACACAAGCATCCTTGAATTTCCTTGGGCAGGCATGTGGTGGTGGGAATTCACAGGTGAGAAATAAGTCCTGAGGACTGGTACCTTTTGATATCCAGTTGGGCAGTCCTGAGTTCCAGTCCTCCAGTATTCATAGGTCTTTTTGCTTTAGTTTCTTGGGGCTGGATTTTTTGGTATGGTTTTAATTTCTTAATTTTAAAGCACAGTGACTGATTCCCAAATTTGTTCTGAGCCAAGGCCGAGGTTGCGAGATGTTGTGCATTACCTTGAATCCTATTATTTCTAGATCTCATGCCCAAAAGTCTAAGTTACATCCCGTTTGGAGCTTTCTGCGCCATCCATTCTGATCTAGCAGCTATGTTTGTTCTGTAGACATAGGTGATTTACAGAATGCCAGAGGTAAGTTTTTTATTATTCCTGGCCAATGGTAAGATCAGGGGCGGTATCTGTTTTGATCATCACTGATATAATACCCAGTATCTTGCACAATGCTTGCAACATAGACGATGAACAGAATTAAATGAATGCCATCTTTGGCTGCCTAATTTAGAGAACATAGGCTAGCAAATTGTGCGGGGGGGGGCATTAAATTATTAGTACTTTAACAGTCAATTCTCAATTCTCTGTACGGCTTATTTATTTTTATGGTATTAGTGGCAAAACTAGCTACGTATTGGCTTCTTCGACACATGAATGGGCTACTGGATCCCAAGGTCAGTGGTGTTAGCTAGGGGATCTATCATAGGTAAGGTGAGCTGGGTCACCACCTGGAAGTGTTACTCAAATCAAATTGTGGTCTTAGGAGCACCTTCAGCAGCATCACCGAGCTCACTTATTACAAATGCAGATTGCAGGGTGCAAATGCATTGTTTTTCCCTGAGCAGCCCCAGGATGCCTAAGAATCTCCTAAATTTGAGAAACTCTTCCCTGAGGCTTTCTATATGTAGATGCTTCTCATAATAATTATATTATCAAAGAAACATTTTTCAATGCATAGATTGATGAGAGAATAAACACAACTGGCAGGGGATGATAAAATGGCTGTTTTCCTCCTTTTTATTACACTAGAGTGCTAAGCCATAAGGATAAACAACATTGGCCTTGGTTGAATAACCCTATCAGTAGGCGTGTTGAGCCCTACAAGTGTAACAACTTGTCTAGGGTGTGCCTAACGCTCTGGCTGCCTGGGTTTGGGGAATTCCGAGTGACTTTAATGTTAAATGGATTCAAATCAAATTAGGAAAGTCAAGCAACTAATTGCCAAAATCACAGAAAATCGGTTTTGGGCCATTAACTCTTTCGCTTTCTTTCAGCACCATGAATAATTACAATTCTTTGCAAGTTAGTTTTTTAAAATATGTGGGGACAGCTCCCTGGGTTGTGGACTGGAGCATGTATCCAAGTCTTTAGAACTTTCTGGTGTCCTGTTGGCCTGGCTCTTACTTCATGTGTACTTTTTGTTTGATACCCTTTGATTTTTTTTTTTTAACCCAAGTTTAACTTTTTTTTTTTTTTAAATATTTTATTGGGAAATTGGGGGAGGGGAACAGACAAGTTGCTGTCGTTTTGTTCTTCAGCCTAGTTGTGGAGGACGTTGCTTCACTGGCCCATGTTGGTATTATCATTGCGCTCTTCCTGACTGAGGCAGATTGGTCGCCGGCCATTGGATGGCCGCTCACAGCAGCTCATGGCAGCCCACTGCAGCAGGTGCTGCAGCCTACACCATTGCTGGTGACTCATGGCAGCCCAGCTCCAGGTTGAGCTGTTGTTCACCATCTTAGCTGTAGAGGGCGCAGCATCACTGGCCCTCATGTGGGATCTGAACCAGCGGCCCTGCTGCTCAGAGCTTGCGCTCCTAAGCCAACTCTTAACCAAGGAGCCACTCAGCCAGCCCCCAAGTTTAATTTTTATTCCTTGTTTTTTTTTTTTTTTAAGATTTTTATTGGGGAATTAGAGGATGAGAACAGTGCTGGGGAGTTGGGGGAAGGGGAACAGACAAGTTGCTGTCCTTTTGTTCTTCAGTCCAGTTGTGGAGGAAATTGCTTCACTGGCCCAAGTTGGCACCATCATTGCGTTCTTTCCGGGCGAGGCAGATCAGTCACCGGCTTCTGGACGGCCGCTCATGGCGGCTGCTGGCCGCTCACGCTGGCTGCCGGCCACACACGGTAGCCCAAGGCAACCCACCTGCTGTTGCTGGCGACTCACGGCAGCCCAGCTCCAGGTTGAGCTGTTGTTCAGCATCTTAGCTGTGGAGGGCAGTGTCACTGGCCCTCATATGTGGGATCCGAACGGGGGCCCTCTGGCGTCCCAAGCCAGTTCTTAACCATCGCGCCACTCGGCCGGCCCTATTCCTTGTTTTTTGACGTAAAGTTCACTTGTCTTAATAGTCCACATGAAAATGATAGGTCCGTTAAAGCAACGAGGCACCTTTGCAGACTGACATTAATTTGTTAACGTAGTAATATACAGCTGTTAGGTTCTTTCTGGTAGATAAAATAACAATAGTTGCTAGAAAGTTGGTGGTAGATGAGAGTTAGATGCCTTTCTATAGCTTCACAACTAACTTGTCATGAAAGCCAGGCTTAGACATTTTTTGCACAAATGAGTATCACTAAAGAATGGACCCAATGTGGGGTAGAGTGGGGCGGCGGATTGGAGGGGGTTGTCACTTTGAGGGGTAAAAAGTATAACTATTGCATTGTGTTGTACACCTGAAACTAATGAAAAAATAAAATTAAAAAAAAAGAAGTACAAATGGGTACTTACAAAATAGTCATCGGGATATAGGGCATAGCATAAGGACTATTGTTGATAATATTGTAATAACTAGGTATGATGTCAGATGGTTACTAGATTTATCAGGATGATAGGGGGATGGGGGTTTGGGGGTAGAGTGAAAAATGTGAAGGGATTAAGAAGTACAAATTCATAGTTACAAAATGGTCATGGGGATGTAAAGTAAATCATAGGGAATATAGTCAATAATATGGTAATAACTATGTATAGTGCCAGGTGGGTACTAGACTAGTCAGGGGGATCACTTCTTAAATTAGATGAATGTCTAACCACTCTGCTACACACTTAAAATTAAGATAAAATATTGAATGTCAACAGTAATTGAAAAGTTTTAAAAGCGGGGGAAAAGGTGAAGGGGAATAAGATGTTCAAATTTCCAGGTATAAAACAAGTGAGTCATGGGGATGTCATGTACAGCATAGGGAATACAGTCAGTAATATTGTGATAGCATGACATGGTGTCAGATTGTTACTGGACTTATCATGGTGATTACTTTAGGTATGTAAGTGTTGAATTACTCTTGTGTACACCTGTAACTAATGTAATATTGTATGTTAGCTGTATTTTAATAAAAGTCTTTAAAAAAAAAAAAAAGAATGGACCCAATGTGTGGGTTGCATGGAGTCTCCTCTCTGTTGATGCAGACACAGGGTTCTAGAACAGGGATTGGCAAACTATGGTGCGTGACTTGTTTTTGTCAATCAAGTTTCATTGAAACACAGCCATGCTCATTTGCTTATGTGTCATCTATTACTGCTTTCATGTTCCAGTGGCAGAATTGAATAGTTAGTTGCATAGAGTCAGAATGGCCCACAAAGTCTAAAATATTTCTATAAGTACCTATACAGAAAAAGTTTGCCAACCTTGTTACAGAGGCAGGATTCTGTTATCCTTTCAGTTGGTATCAGGCAACCAGAATCCTCGTGCAGGGGTCAGCAAACTGCGGCTCGCGAGCCACATGCAGCTCTTTGGGTACGTTCCGTCTCAAAAGTTTGCCGACTCCTGGAAGAACCAATTCTGTCCCTCACAACAATTT